GTTTTTTTGTGTAATCGTCGAGGCGATCGACGAGTGTAATCCTCGAGTAACAAAATCCTCTGCAGCTCCATGGACGTAGGCAATTTGTCGAACCATGTAAATCTGTGTGTTCCATTGTGTTTTCTGTTTTGTGATTTTTCTCGATCCAGTTTTTCAATTTATTGTCGTCGTTTTTCACAACAACTTGTATTAGAGCTAAGGTTCAGATCTGAGGGAAAGTGATGACCAGAGATGATTTGATGACATCGAGGATCAAGAAGTTTAATGATACAGATTTCAGTTACTAGATGATGCAGTTAGATGACTACCTCTATGGGAAGAAAATTTATCTTCCGTTAATGGGAAAGCAACCGGAAAAGATGGATTCTCTAGCAGAGAATCAGACTTGTGAGCTGCATAACTTCCATCAGGGAAGAAGACATTGCACAACAAGTGTGTGTATCAGGTGAAAACTGCGCCTGATAGCAGTAAGAGGTATAAAGCTGGATTTGTTGAAAAGGGCTTTTAGCCGAGGTGGGATATTGCCCATGCAGTGGGAGTTGTAAGCAGAAACATGAATAACCCGGGAAAGAGCTTGGAGGTACAGAGCTATGTTGACGATGATATGTCGACTAAAAGTGTTACTCTTGAGAAACTGAAGTTGTGCTCGACTTCAACTAATCTTCTGGCATGAAGACCGAGGCTTTGAGAGAAAAGGGCAACGCAGTTAGTAGATGATGCAGTCCGTGTACTAGTCTACAACTGATGCTGAGTACATGGTAGTAGCTGAAGCTACAAAAGAGGTCTTATGGCTTGCTGGGCTAGTAAAGGAACTGAGTGTTGAGCAAGGTGGAGTTTATTTGCATTGTGAAAGTCAGAGTGTCATTTATCTAGCCAAGAACTAGGTGTATCATGCGAGAACAAAACACATTGATGTCAAGTATCAAAAGATTAGAGAATTGATTGCTTATGGTGATATTTTATTGTAAAAGGTTCATACTGATGAAAATGCAGCTGATATGTTGACCAAGCCAGTTACTATTAACAAGTTCTTGCATTACTTGGACTTATTGAATGTTTGCAGTTGCTAGACAACATGGTAGTCCAACCCACTTCAGTGTGTAATAAACTCAATGATGTATTTCTCCTAAGGGGTTGAATATTTACCAATGTGGAGATTTATTTGGTATGACTCATATACTATAAGAGGGACAAATGTTGGAGCGGAACTAAAAGAGCCAGCAAAGCGGAGCGGGAGAATCTGTCCAATCGGGGGAGTTTGGTTATGTGGGTTGGGAGTGAGGGGGCAACGCCCTGCAGTACGGTACATGGGTAATTATGTAATTACATATTGTAGTCTAGGGTTATATATATGTCTGTTTGCTTATTCTGTATTCTGTACTCTTTTCTGGAATCGTAAGAAAGTGACTGCTCTGCTCCCGAGGACGCAAACATCTTTGCCGAACCCCGTTAAATCTCCATATTTTCTTCTGGATCTGTGTCGATTATTGTTTTTCTTTGCCCTAAAAATCTCAACAATGACCAACAAATGGTAGTCGATAGTGGTTGACAACTATAGATACCAGAAGTTTTTGTAGGTCTTCAATATATTGTTATACTTTATTACCATATTTCAGATACAATATTAGCAAGCAATGATCGTCGTCGATGGCGATCAAGGGTGGTAGATGGTGGCTAATGTTGGTCAGTGGCTACGGAGACCGGAAGTTATCGCTTGGTCTTCAGTCTAGAATAGGCTCTGAATTACTTCTCTTCTCCTCATCCTCTTAAGTGAAGAGAAGGGATCTATTTATAGACTCTAAGGAAAGAACATTTTTGATTCTTTGGTGAAAAAGTTCTCCAACCACTTGATCAGACGACTCATATTGATCCCACTTGATTATATGATATTTTTAATGATCTGAGGGCATTAATGACCTTATAATTAAGTGAGCTTAGACTTGTTAGATTCCTCTAATCGAGAAGTTAGATTTTAATATAAATATGTTAAATTTGAAGTTCATTTGACCATTCAATTAATAATCCAAAATCTTTTATTGTACTTCAATGACTTGATTTGGGCTTCATTGAACTTGGATTGAACAAGTTTTGAGATCATTGGGTTTGTCTTATAGAGAATATTAGTTTAACTATAAAATTGCTGAAATCCGGGGCACGTGTGATCTTGAATTTGAAACGTTTTTATCAAAAATGCATCGAGTTTCATGTTTGATAAAATTTTTTATGACACGAAAAAAATTAGCCTTGATATTATAAAAAGAAGTAAACAAACAATTATATAAAGGGAGATTTACATACATAACACATAAAACTATTAGTATTGCCTATCTCACATCCAAACTTAAATATTTGCATTTTAAGCACCCATAGTCACCGTGTTAGACGTTTTCACCGCCAAAAGGGGAATCGTCCGAACCGCCGAAGCCGAAGCTGCGATTCCTCTGTCGATCTTGCCGACGCCTTCTTGCGCCTCTGTCGATCTCGCCGACGACTTTTTGCGCCGACTCCTCCGAAGCTTCGCCAAACTCCTATTGTCTGCGCACGCCTGGTGTTGCACTTGAAGCCTTCGCGGAAAAGCCCTCGTCTTCCTGTTGAACCGTCCGAAGCCCTCTTCGTCTTCGAACTTCCTCTGCGCTGAAATCCGAACTGTCGCGAACCTTGCCGAAATCCTTCACTAGTCGCCAATCTCCTCTGCCAAAATCTTTTTTATTCTTGCGCCGCCCAAATTTTCTTCCATGCCCTCGAACCTCGCTCT